CAGATATTTAAAAAAAAAGGGCACTGTTCAATCACTTGTTCATCTAAAGACCATCTAAAGGTGTGGCGAGCTCTAGTAAACACCACAATTTTTGTTTTGTCATGGTTTATCTTTAGTGAATTATGGGAACAGTAGGCTGCGATCCCCTCCAGCATGCTGCGTAAGCCTCTTCGGGTGAGTGCCATTAAAACCATGTCATCGGCATATAGCAAAATATTCAGGCGTTTACCTTCAAGGGCTGGAGCCGATGACTTGTACTTTGCCATGTACTGGACAATGTCGTTTATATAAAAGTTGAAAGAAATGGGGCTAGCAGGCATCCCTGTTTGACCCCTTTCCCCAATGGCAGTGGGTCCGTAAGAGTTCCCGATGGCCCAGTTCTGATTTTGACTGTAATGTCTGTATGTAACTCTCTGAGAATTTTTAAAAGTCGTCTGTCAATGTCCGTTTCATATAATTTTTTCCATAGTCTATCTCTACAGATTGAGTCGAAGGCAGATGTCAAGTCTACGAAGGCCACAAAGAGTCTGCTCTTATACGCTTTTGCATATTTAGCTACCAGGGTCTGTAGTACCATGCAGTGACCTATCGTATTGTGGCCCTTTCTAAATCCTGCCTGTTCCTGGTTGAACAGGTTAGAATGGTCCGCCCAATCTACCAGCTTGTTTAATAGGTACCGGGTATAAAGTTTGTATGCGATGTCCAGAAGGCTTATAGGGCGGTAGTTTGCTGGATCTTGAATGTCTCCTTCTTATAGATAGGGACTACCACACTTAGTTTCCAATTTGCTGGGATTTTACATATGTTGTTCATTGCCGTAAAAGTTTGGCCAAAAGATGGCCCACCATTGGGCATTTGATTTAAAAACCTCAGGGGGGATCATGTCCTCACCAGGAGCTTTGCCATTTTTTAAGGTTTTAATTAGCTGTAGGCACTCTGATTCCGTAACAGGATCCCAACTAACTAGAGAGCACCAGATATCAAAATCCTGTGCTAGGAACTTTCAGTTGGTGTAGAATATTAATTTCCACAATGGATGGTGGTCGGCTGATAGATGAATCTAAACACATCCTAAGCAGTAGTACCTGGTGATGGTTATGCAATGGCTGTGTGCCTCCCAAAAGTCACTGTGATGTTTGTAAAGATGGAACAGAAGGAGGAGGAAGGAGAGAGAGGTATGAAAGTGTGCTGCTCAGTAGCAGATCGTATGATGAGGCAGCGGTACTCCTGACCTCCCAGCAGCTGAGTCAGCTGCTGCTTACCAGGAAAGAGATGGGGAAAGTGAAAGGGAGGTCAGCACAGTGCAAACACACTAGCCAAGCCAATATGGTATTCCTGCCAGTGCCTTTGCACTCTGCTGACCTCCCTGCCTCCTCACTCCATTGCAGCAGCAACTCAACTGCTGGGAGGCCAAGTGAGCACCACTGTCCCACCACACCATCAGCTACTGGACCTTCTTTTATAAACTCTAGCTTGCCTGTATGGTTAGTTTTTTAATGCCTATCCATGGACTGCTCATTCATACACAGGGGGAATAAGCTATTTAAGACCCAGTGATAAGTGTATTCTTTTGGAAGTAGATTACATTGATTTCAGTACAAGTGAATATCTTTAAGACTGCAGTCTATGTAGAACAGATATAGCACTATAGAAGATGCTGGCAGAGGCTCTTTGGCTGTCACTCTTTGGGGATGGAGGAGGATTTCATTTAGTCCACATTTTTTAACGAACTAGCCTAGTGGGGATGGATCATAATGCATGGATCATAACATAATTATTCTTTGGATTGCACACTTCCCTGAATTTCAGAGTTCTCGACTAAAAAGAATAATAATAAAAATGCAAAAATGCAAATTTTAGAATAAAGTATTTTTTAGAAATATGCAAGATAATATATGCAATGATATAAGTGTTGTGCGACAAAATAGGCATTTAAATGCATTTTAAAATATGAATTTCCATACGGATCACAGATTATGGCAAAAATAAGACAGAACAGACTTATGAATGAGTACATGTGAAATAGATGCAGAATGGAAATAGAATAATCCTACCATTCCTACTCAGTCGTTAAGAGAAAATATCAAGCACAAGAATGCCAATATTTCAGCATTTACATTCCTGGGTTTTGACTTGTCTCAGATTAATGATGGTGGCAGTTCTGCGTACATTACCCTTCGGGATCTTGAAACTCTCCCTTTTCTCTTTTCCACTGGATGCTTCCCATTTTGAGTGGGCCTTGGGGCTGTGGCAGAGCACTAAAATGGCTGTCAGACACAAGAAGAGCTCTAAGAGGCAGGACCACAAAATGGCGCAGGCGAGCCTCTCCATCAATGAAAAGAATGGCACCCCTGTCACCCACCAGGATGCTCACTCACAGAGCAAAAACATCTCTTCTGTTCAGAACAGAAGGGTGGGTGGGTGACCGGTCCCAAATGAAATATGGGCATGTTTAAGGGGATGTGCCAGTACAAATAGGAAGTGGGCAGGAAGAGCAAACCATCTTTCATACAATGTGGATTTTTAAAAGGACATTTACTGAGACCTTTCACAAGTGCTAAGAGGCACACTGGCATTCATGGACAACATGTTGATGACCCACTTACATGACTGGGGCAGTTATGCATTTAAATATATGAAGGCCGTTTTTAATGATGCACTCAATATAGTCACTTCACCACAATGCAAAAGGAAATGCTTTCATACAAAACACAAGACATACAATAGCAAGAAGACAAAAAGGACTATGTGCAACAAAGAGAGGAAGAGGCACAACTGCACAATGGTCCAATTGCCCAAGTTTAAGAGTTGGTGACAATATGTGCTCATGCCTCTCTCCTGCAGTATGTATTTTTGTAGGCAGTTGCCTTTTTTGGTGCATGTTGCACATTAAAAAATGCACGCACCACCCTCAAGCTAGCATGCTTTGGGGCAGATTATTACACAACCTAAAGAAGGGTAAAACTATAAAATAACAATCAAGATAAAGCAAGCCTAGCAATGCAGCAAAATTCAGCAATGGAAACCAGCAGAGAGTAAAAACCAGCCGACTGATTTGCTGGAGGGAAGTAGAAAAAGAGGGAGAAGAAGGAGAAGAAAGACAGGCAAGCCTCACTGGGAAAGGCATTTCAGAAAAAGAATTCCATACAGGTAGAATAAGGGTGGGTGAGGTTTTTCGATTGAGGGCCATATTGACCCATTGGCAACTCTCTGGGGGCCACATGGTAAAGTAGGTGTGGGGGATGTGGAAAAGTAGGTGTGACCAAGATGGGAACATGGACATGGTAGAATCAGTAAATGAACATTTTCCAAGTGAATCTCCCTCTCCCACCCACTCAATTCATTTAATTAACTTTTCCCTCCTTTCTCCCAAAGTCATTCCTTTGTCTTCCAACCAACTGCATTCCATCTTCCCTCTCTGCCACCAAACCAAATCAAGACACCATTTGCACACCCATGCTTTTATTATTATGCAGTAAAGAGTTGCTGCTGGCTACTCTGCTTGTCCCATTTTGATGCACGTGGGACAGATTGCCGGTGACTGTTGTGTCTTTAGCCACTGACAGCATTGCAAGCAGCTACTGAGCGTGGCTATTAATAGGACTGCAAGAAATTAACACTCTAGGACTGCTATAACAACAAGGAATCAAAAACAAGGAAAGATTGGGCTGTTTGGGGAACTGCAGAAGTGGAACCTAGCTGATTCAAACTGGAAAGTGCTTGGAGAAGCTCTGAGGATGTTTTAAAGGACGGGGGAAATAGGGATCTTTGTTTAATTTATTTGCATTGTTTTAAGCCTTCAGTTTTGCTGCAGTGAAATGCCAGGGGGTCCCCGCAGGTTGCAATAAACTTTTGAGGGCCGTGTATGATTTGGGAAAGTATGCTTCATTATCTCCAAGCCATATATTTGTCAAAAATGCTTATGCCAAAGGCCAGGTTTATCTCTAACTGCCCAGCTAGACTGTGGACACCACTTTAAAACTGAGGGTGTGGGTGTGGGTGTGTTTTCCTTGAAAAGGCAGAAGAGGAAGGAAAGAACAAGAAGTCATCAATCACAAATGAATCGCATCCAGGAGGAAAGAGTATTAGTGTTCCCCAAGCAATTCTTCAGTTCACCCACCTCCTGATCTTTTTCTCTAACACAAGAAATGTAAATCTGTCAAGGTATGTTATGATGAAGATAAGTTGCTCTGTGTCTTCTGGTATAGAGACTCTGTTCCGCACCATATACATGATCCTTTGAAGGCTTGAGGTCTAAAAATACAACACTGCAGGCTGATACGAAAGGAATCCTGCAGCCAAGGTGGCAAAGTACATATTCTTTAAGATCCGCCTTCCCAAATGGGTGCATTCCAGATGTTGGAGCATGGCCAACAGCCAGGAGTTGTAGCCCCAAACACCTGGAGGGCATTAGGTTGTGGAAAGCTGCTTAAAACAGTCTTCTAACTAGGGTTTGCTGATGCAGATGTGGAATTCTCTGTTTCCTTTGTGTTTGCTCACTGGTCAGACATCCCTCCATGAAGATGCTGGCGGTATTTGCTGACACCAGATTTTGTTGCTGCTGTTAACCAACAACCTGTGGATTGTATGTAATTGTGGATTGTATGTAATTAAATCGCTTAAATGACATAGTTCTGTGGAGTGTTCTGTGTTTTGCCTTCAACCAGAACCTTCGGTGGAGGAACACAGAATTGTAGAGTTGGGAGGGAACTTAGTGGTTAAGAGCGGTGGACTCGTAATCTGGTGAACCGGGTTCGCGTCTCTGCTCCTCCACATGCAGCTGCTAGGTGACCTTGGGCCAGTCACACTTCTCTGATGTCTCTCAGCCTCACTCACCTCACAGAGTGTTTGTTGTGGGGGAGGAAGAGAAAGGAGATTGTTAGCCACTTTGAGACTCCTTAGGGTAGTGATAAAGCGGGATAGCAAATCCAAACTCCTCCTCCTCCTCCTCCTCCTCCTCCTCTTCTTCTTCTCCAACCCCCTGCAATGCAGGAATCATTTGCCCGATGTGGGGCTTGAACCCAGAACCTTGAGATTAAGAGTCCCATGCTCTACTGACTGGGCTATCCAGGAGCTGTCTAATGTGCTTAATCTAGTTATGAAGGAAGAAAACGTAAATATGAAGAAAGCAGCTTTTAGGCATAGAGACCGCAAGGACCTTCCACTGCACTATGAAAGGTGCTCAGGGACGAAGGGTCCCTGAGAATTCAACAGAATACTCTCCCCACCCAGTGCATATGCACAGGTACATAGGTGTGACTCCCACAATGCCATCCAGCCTCAAATACAAGTTGCTTAAGCTTCAGACGCAAGCAACACAAAGAAGGCTGGAGCAAGATCAGTGGCTCCCAGACCTTTTCAGGCCATTGCCCCCTTGGTTCCATAAACTCATCCCCAGCGGCCCCTACCCTGCCATGTAAAAAGCATTATTCAGAATAGTGGTTCGCACAACCCACTAAGGAAGACAACACCACAATATAATTCAAACCGGTAACAATTAATTGCACATTCATTCAAAAGCCAATTAAAACTATTTTGTTTAATTAATTCAACAAAATGGTTGAATTTGATCCAGTGAGACCAGGTTTTCTAAGTTGGATAGTCATTCACTGTAACTCCAGTGCCCCCTACCTTGCTTCTTAAGTAATCCCTTTGCCCCCCCAGGGGGCGGTACTCCCCACTTTGGAGACCTCTGGACTAGTTGGGGGATATGGGAGTTACACGCAGCCTCTCCTATAGTTGCTGTGTGCCTATGGGCTTTGTGTGAGCATAGGTGGGGAAGCAAGGTTCTCCTGCACTTATGGGAATTGTCTTTGCCTGGGTGCCGCATCCACAGATATCTGGCCTGCGGCTGGCCCTGTTCTGTGGAACAGCATTCCTGTAGAGGCGCCAGCTATCTGCACCTTCCAGAAACAACTGAAGACGTGTTTTTTTGTTCTGTCAAGCTTTCCAAGCTAGATGAATAGGTCTCTGCCCCACAGAGGCCTCCGCTGAATAGTTTGCTAAATTCATTTGCCACTATTATTTGTGCTGTTTTATAACTCCTTTTAGCTACTTTTTAATGATATTATGTACATCACCTTGAAAGAGAGATGCACAAGGTGATTGAGAATATAATAACCATAACCCCGTTTTAAAGTTACCAGTGCGTGCACCGCCACAAGACAATTACCTTATTGACATATCAGGATCATTTAAAATGTCAACTGACACTCATCTCATTTGTGTATGCTTATGTATATATACATAATACAACAGAATATTACGTACGTTCACAGACATGCATATTCATTGATCAAAGGCCAGCGCAAAGCTATGTTCCCTGAATTAAAAGCCTTCTGCCTTTGTTTTTCCACTGAACACTTGGGAGGCTAATTTCCATTCATGATGCATGTCTCCTTAACAGTATCAGTTATTTAAGACAGCCATTAAAAGCCTATGATATTACCATAATGAAGCAAAACTTTAGAGAGTTAGAACAGAGCTCTTCAGATAAGTTACCACCAGGCTGTTAAACAGATGCCTTTTCTCTGTAATGGGATTACAGGACTGATGTACAGGCAACTCTCTCTGTAACATAAATCACAATTGTAGCAAACACATGTCTCACGATCACGACGAACACAAAGGATTTGCCATGGAAAGAAAGAAATAAAAGGAGGGGGGGTGGAAACAAAACAGGGAGGCAGCAAAATTGTTGAAGCCAGTTCTGAGGTTTCCTGCCAGGCATTTAATTGGGGGAACTGACAGGAAGTTATCCAATACAGAATCTGTGTTAGATAGATGCAGTTGCTTCTGCAATGATTGCTTAGGAAAGCTAAATAGAAATGCCTGTCTATTTATAGAAAGAGGTGATTGCAGCTATTAATTTGAGCAGTGGGATTCAAGTATTTTATGTGCATTTGATTTCACTGGTTTCTGAGTAAACTGGAAGGCTATTTTAAGGCTGAATCGTTCTGCACAGAGCTGTCACAGCATTTTCTTCTTTATTAAAGATTTTCTTGTTTTACAAAAGTACATGCCTTGTCTCTTCTCTCAGGTTGTACAGTCTTTCTTACAAATCAGCTACATTTATTGTGAGACATTAGTCTTGAGTACAGTATAAGGTTGGGGGAGAGGAAGGGTGGGGTGGTGAGGCTTATATTACTTTTATATAGTGTACGTGTGTGGTTTCGTGTCGGTGTCAACTGGGTAGGTTCTCTTTCTATTCGTTTATTGCATTTCCTTGGTAGTGAGAGGTATTGGGGGGCCAGGGTGTGGCTGGTTGTCTGTGGTTGACTGCAGTGGGGTTTGTTTGCATTTGTGGAGGGCTTGTTGGGTCAGGTAAGCCAGACTGATCTGTATACTGTCAGCCGATTCTTGTTGCTGTGTTGTTAGGCTGCGTATGTGATAAACGGGAGCCATACTGGGGTGAAGGAGTCTGTTTCCATTTTGTGTCATTTTCACATACACCCAATCATAGGTCCCTTCCATTCAGTGGGGAGGGAGTTGCATGAAAAAAAACCCCACACATATAAATTGTACTAATTCCATAAGCATTCTATTTGCATTCTTCCTCTAAAATAAGCATGTTTGTAGGCTTTTCAATTTCCCACTAAAACACAAACTTTTGTGAACATTTTTGAACCAAAACCGCATTGCAAAATCCAACCAAGTGCATAATCCAATCGATAGCTACAATCTGATTGGCATCTAAGTCCAGGAATGAAAAATTAGGTTGGTTTGCTTCAAAACGTGGACCAAACGAATTTCTCCTCTGCCTCTACACCAGAGCCTTCGATTTTGACTGTGACAAATTTGGGTCACTCCCTTATGGGCAAAGCACACTTACGACACGTAAGAAAACAGGCAGGAAGATTAGAAGGGGGAAAATGTTTCCAAGTTTACCTTTGCTTTGCGAAACCGGTAGACCATGAGCATGCTTATGAAGTCCAGCAGCATACAGAGAGTTTGGAATGAGATGATAGCAAGCCGTAAATACTTGTCCTCCTGTGCATAGCAGGGAGTATCATCTGTGCAGTAAGAACATCCTTCCCTGCAGGGTAAGCAGCTGTAGATTTTCTCCGACATCTCGCCTCCAGAAAAATGGCTCTCTGCAACCTTTCCTAAAAGTATCAGATATAGGGAGGGCAGGAGAGAGAGAGAGAGAGAGAGAGAGAGAGAGAGAGAGATAAAATGGGGGGGCATTTGCTTGCCTTCCTGGTGACTCATGGTCCACCCTCCCATTTTTCTGAACCATATAAAGCTTTGAGACAAAGCTGCCATTTTGGAGGTAGTAGCAGAAGCCCGTCCTACTCTCGAGTAGGACCCTGGCAGAGACACATGCCTGACTGGCATGTTCCCTCCCTCCTGGCCGATCGTTTGGGAGCTTCAAAAGCTTTCTTCTGCCTGAACATCACAGTGACCGATGCCAACAGACATCGGCACACTTAGGGATCTGCAGAGTCTTTGCAGCTTGCGTAACAGACCTCAGCAACTCAGCATTTTGGCTAATCTATTTTATTTACTTAAAAACACACAGAGAGCACTGCAACATGGCTACCTCTCTCTCTAGCATCAGACAGCAAAGAGAGAGAACAAAGGACAATAGTCCCACTTCACGGAACACAGTAACACAAACATCCTGTCTCCATCACTTCCCACTCTGTGGAGTCAAAACATAACCGTCATGTGAAAGACAACAATCCCATGACTGCAACCACGGAGCAGGAATTCTAACATCAGATACCTGTGGGAAACCGACAAGAAATGCCCAAGCAAAAGAGGGCTATCCCACCCTGTGGTTTGCAGCAACTTATATTCAGAAGCATGCTGACTCCAACTGTGGAGGCAGAGCATAGCCTTCCTGTCTAGTAGCCATTGATAGCCATATCCTCCATGAATTTGTCTCAGCATTTCTCAAAGTATGAGGTCGCAAGGCTCACTATGGAAGTGTGCCAGCCCAGTTTGTGTGTGCCTGCCTAGACTGGCTGTCAGGGCTGGAGTCAGATGCAGGTCAGCACAAAGAAGCAGAGTTAGCTGTCAGTGACTGTTAGCTTTTTATTCAAGAAAATGACATACAAACTCAGCTACACTTCCCAGTAGCTCTTGCCCCTATAGAGAAGTTGCCAGGACTGAAGGGGCCTTCCACCACTTCTGAGGCTCCCTCTCTTCTGGATGTGTCCCAAGCAGTCTCAAACTGCATCTGTTCACGTCTGGTCTCTGCTCTGCTCTCCCCACTATCCTGCATGTTCTTGGAGACAAAGGGGTAGCTTGTCACAGCAGGAGAGGGGGACTCCCTGGATTCTTCAGCAGCCTCTTGACACACACACACACCCCAGCTTCAGCCTCAAAGTCTGAACTGCTCCCTGTCACAGGGTCCTCCTGCTCACTAAACCCCGTCCCTCCAGTATCCAGCACCTCCTCCCAATCTTTCCCTTCTGTCCCACCACCAATCCCTGGGCTCAGGGCCTTCCTCCTCTGGGATTTCCCTTGGGGATTCCACGGCTGGCACCTTCCACCACTCCTGGCACTGGCCAACTGCAGGCTGGACTAGGATGATCACTGGCTTTAAGATTGCGATTTCCTAAATATTTGCCCTTCGCTTCCGATTCCTCACTCCTGTAGGAAATGCCTGACCCTACTGCCTACCTGCTGACGTCCATCTAGGCTGCAAGTATCCTTTCAAGACCCTGATCAAATTGGGCAGTGAGTTCCCTCTGCAGGCCTTGGCCTTGAACAGGACCATTTTCCTCTCCCTGCCCTCAGCTGGAGTCAGTCCTCCTACTGAGCCTTCGCTGGTCTTTCAAAAAAGAATGAACTGGGCTGTTTTTCTGGTGTTTGCATCAGGAGCAGAACCCCAAATGGAAATCCATCTGCCCTGCTATCTCAGCAACCCACTTCAGCCTCCCAGTTCTGTCTCGACCTACAACCGTGCAGCCTCACCAAAAGCAGAAGGATGGCAAAGTTTTCAGTGGGAAAAGCATCTGGCCGGCAAAATCTTGATTATTAATGATGGTGAGCAAGCAAGAACACAGCTTGACTTTCAGGTTCCTTGCTGGGTTTGCAGAGCTGGCAGTTTAGATAAACAATCT